GTGCAGGAAACCTCAAATGATGTGCAAAAAAAATTGTCAAGGTTAAAAGAATTTTTCCATCCCTTTGCTTCATAACTCAGCATTTCTGATGCTGGTGATTTATGATCTGGGGGGCTGGCAGGGGGGATGGGGGGGGACCCGTGAGGCTGAGTGGGGGGAACAGGCAGGAGAGCGGCCTCCTGTGGAGGCTCTGGGGCCCCCAAAGCTCGGCCCCAAATAACCCGGAGCGAGGCTTTGGAGCAGGATCAGACAGGCCAGCCGGATTTCAAATCTGGAGACTCGGCCCCAAGGCCCCCCAGGCCACTGCCTACAAAGGGTGCCTGGGCCCGAGGAGAGAGGCTGAGGGGTTGAGCCACCCCCCTCCTTCCCTCCTGGGGCATCGCGCACAATCGGGGGTCAGCCGCTTACCGACACCCACCCTCTGCTGTGCACTTGTCAGTGACCCAGCCTCCTGGGGCCAAAGCAGCCCTCCGCCCTGCGGCCGAGCCGGTGAGGGCTGGCCTTGACCTGTCCTCTGGGCGCTGGAAGGTCTCACTGTAGAAGAGGCAAGGATGGGGACCTGCGGCCGCCCGGGCCTGCTCTCTGGACTCCAGAACCTGGTGGGTCTTTGAGCAGGCGCAGAGACCTCACCCCTAGTCCCTGACGTGGCTCCAGACCCCTGCCTCTGGGCTGCATCTGCCCTTGTGCAGAACAGGATAAGGGGACAATGCCGGCACGTGGGGTGACCAGGAAGGGGCTGCGCGAACACAGAGAGAGACCTGAGCCCACACGGGCTCTCGATGTGAGCTTCCCAGAGGCCCAGCTCTGCCACGGCCCCGGGGGAGGACAGAGAGAGGAAAGGAAGGGAAGCGAGAAGCGTCTGCACCCCGTTTCTCCCTTCCTGGGGTCCCAGAGGCCACGGGCCCGTCCACACCCCAGACCAGAGCCAGGCCTACAGTGTCCTGCCCGTGAGGCTCAGGTGACGCAGAGGCAGGCCTGGGTCCTCTCCCCACACGTGCACTGCACTTTCTGGGCCCCCAGACCAGGACTCGGACCTTCTCTGCAGGTCGACGGCTCACTCGATGCTGCTCAGAGGTAGAGTTTCAGGGAGAAGGAGTCCCCTCGGGACCCACCGGGAGGTAACCTCCACCTGTGACCATCCAAATGGTCCGGGGCGGGGGCAGGTCTTCTGGGCTGAAGGGAAGGGGCCTTTCCCAGGAGGCACTAGGAAGGAGGGCTGCCGGCTCTCCAGCGTGGAAGCTGCCCGACAGGGATGGGGACGCATGGGCGTCCCAGGTGGGTGGACATGCTTGAGAGGACCGGAGAGGGCTGCCGGGCCCGGGGAAGGCTCAGGAGAACACGGGCCGCGGGCCAGCCCCTGCCTTGCTGCCCTAAGGGAGAGAGAGGTTGGCTCGAGGAGGACCCAGAAAGCTCACGGAAGGCCAGGTTGTCCATGCCGAAGGTTCCCCCTGAGGCCCAGTGGGACCGGGGGACGACCAGGCTACTGCGGTGCGGCGGGCTCCCGGGTGTGCCCAGCGGGCCGGTGGGGCTCAGGTGTGCGCAGCGGGCAGGTGGGGCTCAGGGTCAGGCTCCCGGGTGCGCGCAGCGGGCCGGTGGGGCTCAGGGTCAGGCTCCCAGGTGTGCGCAGCAGGCAGGTGGGGCTCAGGTGTGCGCAGTGGGCAGGTGGGGCTCAGGTGTGCACAGCGGGCAGGTGGGGCTCAGGGTCAGGCTCCCAGGTGTGCGCAGCAGGCAGGTGGGGCTCAGGTGTGCGCAGTGGGCAGGTGGGGCTCAGGTGTGCACAGCGGGCAGGTGGGGCTCAGGTGTGCGCAGCGGGCAGGTGGGGCTCAGGGGCAGGCTCCGGGGTGTGCGCAGCAGGCAGGTGGGGCTCAGGTGTGCACAGTGGGCAGGTGGGGCTCAGGTGTGCGCAGCAGGCAGGTGGGGCTCAGGTGTGCGCAGTGGGCAGGTGGGGCTCAGGTGTGCACAGCGGGCAGGTGGGGCTCAGGTGTGCGCAGCGGGCAGGTGGGGCTCAGGGTCAGGCTCCCGGGTGCGCGCAGCAGGCAGGAGGGGCCTGGGCGGGCTCCCGGGTGTGCCAGCGGGCGGGTGGGGTACGGGCACGGGCTTGGGTGGTGACACAGGACCTGCAGGCACCGGAGGGCAACGGGCAGTCACTGGGTTTTGGGCGCCCCGTGCTTTCCCTCACCTGCCCCAGGACAAGCCCTGTGAGCACAGGGAGGGCCACGCTCCCTCGCTGGGGCAGGGAGGAGCCACCCCCCCGAGACACAGAGCTCCCCTCACGGCAGAAGGTCAAGAGCCCCAGGGAGTGAGGCTGCGAGGCGGGTGCAGCGTCCCCGCCCCCCGGGCAACGTGTTCTGGGGGCTTGGCCTGGGGCCGCCATGTCTCCCTCCGAGACCCACAACCCAGGACGTTCCCAGCCGGGGAGGTGGGAGGCGCAGAGACGGGAGGGTGCGGCTGTGGGAGACGGTGGCAGAAAAGGACTCACGTGAGCAAGGTGCCCAGGAGGGGCCTGGGGGGGCGTGGGGGCGTCCTGTGCATCAGTCCTGCGGCCACTGCCTCACCAGCGCCGCTTACCCTTTTCCCAAAGCACACTGACTGCTCCCAGCAACCGCCTGAGTGGCACTTCACACGCGCACACACACACACACGTTCACACATATGCACACATGCACTTCCACACGTAAACATATGCACACACATGCAATCACCCACACGCGCACTTGCAATGCAGACTTGCATGCACAGACACACGTGCACACACATGCATGCACGCACGCAATCACACACACGTGTGCGCTCATGCATGCACATGCACACACGTGGTGCTCGTACATGCACACACATGCACACAGGCACATATGAGCAAACTGGATGAAGAGGGCTTCTAAGCACTTAGAACAGTGGTCAGTTGGTCAGACGGACGGATTAGTGCTCCTCTGGCCACTACTTGGGGAGACAGACCCAGGCCTGTCAAGGGGAAGCGACAGTCAGCCCAGAGGAGCCGTGGGGGCGGCGGGGGCGGAGCCCGTGGGGGCTGTGATGTCCCGGCAGCCTGTGCCCTCTGCACCATCGCCAGCCTGAGCCACAGGTGAGGGTGGGGTGGGGGTGGACAGAGGCGGTGATGGGGGCAGCACAGGGAGCCTGGGCCCCAGCGGGGGTGGGGTGGGGTCCACGGGTCTCGGCCGCCAGGCCCCTCTTCCTCCCATTGCAGAGGAAGGTGGCAGGGCTGCCCCTTCGGTTGACGTGCCGTGAACCACAGGTTTTGCTTTGTGGGTCTTTTCTGTGGGTTTCCTGCAGTTGGGGGAGGAGGCGCAAGGGGGGCCCCTGAGAAGCGTTGGTGCCCGGAGGGGGGGCCTCTCCCACGTGGGCCTGCGCTCCTGTCCTTGCCGGCCCGGAGCACGCCGCCCCCCACGCCCCCTGGCACCCCGAGGGCTTCTCTGTGCCACACGGCCCTCCAGTCCCACCCTAGCCCCCTGCCCAGGCTCCCTGGCCTCTCTCCCCTCTCAGAATTAGGCCCATTTGGTGAAAGCCCCCCTGCAAAAGGAGAATCACAGAACCATGGTCCCTGGGTTCAGAGCCCCCCCAGACCAGCCTCCTGTCGGCAAAGAGGGGCCCGGGCCTGTCTGCTCCCAGACCTGTCGTCTACGGGGGCACCGCCCGTGGCTCCAGGAGGGGCTTCAGGGGCCCCGTGGGCAGAGGCCCAGACGGGATAGAGGTGGGTCGGTGCATCCCACGGCAATGCACCCGCCTCCCGAGACCTCCGTTCCCTCACAGATCGGGGCCGCGGGGCCCCTGGCGACGCAGAAAGTGTCTGTGTGCACAGGGGGGCCTGAGCCGTTACGGAGCACCCCGAGTTGCTGGTCAGCGGCGGCCTCTCTGGGCTACGCAGGGCTGCCCTGCCCTTCCCGTCTTTACCGTCCAGAATGTGTGCTCAGGACGCGCTCACGGAGAGAGGCCATGATGCTTGGAATCAGCCTCCTCTCTTCGCTGGGACAGGCTACTACCCCCTGCCCTCACTCCACTGGGTCCTTCTGACACCCTGTTCTCATCTCCCCTCCCCACCTGGACACCCCTGCCGGCCAGGGCGCCCCTTCCTACTTTGAGGCTTCGCCCCTCCCTCCTGCCCTGTAAGAGCCGGGGCTGCCCTGCCCGGGAAGTCGGCCCAAGATGCTGTGGCAGGCCCCGAACAGAGCAGGGGTGCGGATGGGAGGGACCCTGCTGCAGCTTCACCTCCGAGCCCGCGGGTCCAGGGGCACCCCTCTCTCAGCGGGGGACAGCTCTCCACTCTTCTGGTAAATGAGCCGCCCGGAGACCCGCACCTGGATGAGCCCCGAGCTCTGCCCGTCAGAAGCACGTTCAGAGAGACCAGCGGCAGGGACTGGGTCCCTACGCCCGTCGCGGGCGCGCCGGCCGCTGGCTGTGCCAAGGGAGGCCGGGCCTCTGCGGGCGCTGGGTGTCAAATGGAAACTTTTCACCTTTAAGAAAACTGAACGCCTTTCTTACTTTGTTGCCGTCGGGGTGATGTGCACGCCGGTGTGGGCACACGCACACACGCCTGCACAGGCACGCTCACACCCCAACAACACCTTTACCTTCAAGAACGTTTTCTGCAGCCCAACGCCCCAGCTGCCCTTAGCAGACGGCTCTGTTCTTAGACACAGTGGCCTCCGCTTTCTCACATGTGGGACGGCTCTGCGGGGGGCACGCCGCAGCCTTCGTGGCCGCCCCGGTGCCAGGCCCGGGCAGCAGGCGGCTCGGTGAGAGAAGGGGCCGTCCTCCTGGCCCCCGCCCCCCGCCCCCCGCCGCCGGGCTCTCGGAGGCTCCCGGGAGGGGCAGCTGGGTGGGACAGGGACCTGGCCAGTGCCCAGGGACCTGCTGATGTCCCGACGCCCGACTGCCTTCCTGCTGGGCCCAGACAGCCGGCCCCTCATTGGGCAGATACAGGGTGTGTAGACTCAGCGCACAGGGCGCCTCTGACCCCCCTCGGCCCTCCCTCTCCCCGACAGATCTCCGAAGACCTGAGCACTGAGAAGCTCTGCATGGACGCTGCTCCCGCGGGGTCCGGCAGCTGGCTCAAGTACATCCGGGTGGCCTGCTCCTGTGATGACCAGAACCTCACCATGTGCCAGATCAATGAGCAGGTGGGTCCGGGGCTTGCGCGCAGGCCCTTGGAGCGGTTCTTGGGGCTGAGGCGCCGGAAAGGTGGGGGCGGTGCTGGGGTGAAGGGGCAGCTGCGCCCTGCCAAGCCCTGTCCGGCCTCGGGACAGGGAGCTCAGGGACCCCCTGTGGTCGCTCCATCGGAGCTTTCTGTTGGCAATCCGCTGGCGCACGGCTGTCTACACGGCTCCGCTCGGACGTGCTCCCTGAGGGGTCGTCGCCACCCTCCGGGAGTGCCCTGCGAATCCCCACGGTGTCCCGGCCAGCCTGCGGAGGTCACTGGCCCCCTCCCCGGCCCACAACCGATCTTTCTCCTGAGCCGCGTGGCCCTGACATCGGCCCCTGGCCCCACGGCCTGGACACCTCACGTCTGCCAGCCCCGCCGGAGGCCAGGGACCCCACTCGGCACACTGGATCCCCCACGCTTCCTCCCCGGAATACAGGCACTGCCGGCCCCCTTGCCCGTGGAGGCCGTCCGGGATAGAGGACGCCATGCTGCCCCCACGTGTCCCCAGTGCTGGAGCTCTAACTCTGTGTCTTTAATTACAAGTTTGCAAGTGGTCCCTGAAGACTCCCCACTCCGGAGCCAGGCCCCTCGGGCACATTTCCACGGCGCTCCAGGAGCGCGGGGCTGCTCGGGACGCCTGGGGGCCCGGCCCGGCCGATCAGAGCAGTGCTCTTCAGCCCAGAAGATCTTGGGGTTACACATGAGATTTCATCTGCAAAAGGGATTCCACTGCTTTCAAAAATGTTTTCAGAGACCACATAACAAAGAGTGCATTCTCCTGCCGCCTGTGCAAACCATTAAAAGTGGTTCGAGGCTCTTGACTTCAGAGAAACGATTTTGCATTAGGAAGCAGAGAGCACACACACCAGGGAGGTCCCTAGGAACCCGTCGGCCGCCCTCCCCCCCCCAGGCTCCTCCTCGGCCCTGGGACTCAGCCTGGGTTGAGCCCTGGACACAAGCCGATACCCGTCACCGTGAAGTTCGAATCCACCTCTGCTCCTGCGACGTCTACAGCTTGCAGTTAGAACCCAGCATTTTGAAACTAGGGCACTTTTTTTTTCTGATTGCAAACAATATTGCGGAAATGAAAGCCAAAAGGAATAATCCTCAAAAATTAGGAGAGAACTTAAAAAGAGAAACAGACCGCTTTTCCTCCCTCCAGACGGAAGTGAAATCGGAGAGAAGGACAGTCAGATCTCGGCACGTGGAGAGGGTGGGCTCCCCGATGCCCCTCCTCTGTGGGCCGTGTGTCCCGGTCCTGAGTCCGGAAGCTGACTGGCAGCAGAAGGACACCGTGGGGCTGGCCCCGGATGGCACTTGGGTGAGACGGCAGATCCAGACTCTCCATTTAAGAAACACGTTTGCTGGACTGTTTGAACCAAACTCTAGTAGCAAAGTAGGTACCTTTTCGTGAAGCTTCTGGAAGAGCAAACGGATGTGTGATCTTTCCAAAGAGAAGCTCCTCTCAGACGTCTTTATTTTCTTATTACTGTTTCGGGGAAGTGTTTATGTCAGCTCCGCATGAGGGTCCACGTGGGATTGGCTGCTTTGCAGCAAATTCTTTCCATCTCTTTCCACCAGGAGCAGAAATACTTCCTGCTGGGTCTTAAACCCTCACTGCTTCCCAGAGCCCCGCTAGGTGGGTGACCAGTCCTGACGGGGGGAAATGCCAGTTGCTTTGGGACAACAGGCTTGACCTGACGTGAAGCAGGAATAAAACATCCCTGAAATAATAATAAAACAAAGATTTTTGAAGACAGGCTTCCCTTGGAGCAGGAAACCCTACACGATAGTAATGGGGCTTCTCGGATTTCCGTAACCCCGGGAGTTTCTACCAGGACTTCCTGGCGCTTATGGACACCCCCTGCTGCCTGCACTTGTGCGCACACACACACGTGCATACACGCACACGCGCACACGCACACCGGGACAGCACGGACGTGGAGGGGGCAGCGTCCACACTGAACATCTCAGAGGCAGGAGGCAGTGTTGGGAAGCTCACGTCACATGACCTTAGCCCCAGTTTTGAGAGGACGAAGGAGACTTGCAGGACGGGGTCTCCGGAGCTCGAAGAGAAAGTCCCGGAAGTCACAGCTCCCAGGACCGAGCTGGCCGAGGAGAGAGGCGCTCCAAACAGGAGACCGTGTCCTTGGGAGGGAGCCATGCATTTCTTCTGTGGACCGGGGCTCCCACGGCCGTGAGCACAGCCCTGTCTCCGGCTCCTCAGGCCACAAGGCCCCCTCTTGGTCCCCTGTGGGGCTGATGGGCCCCAGCCCCGGGGGGTCTCGAGGACAGGTGGCCTGCTGGTCACTCTGCTCTGCTGCTCGTGCGGCCACCTCTGTCCCCCGCTGCAGCTCTGGATGGGGAGCCCGGGGCAAGAGAGGCCACCCCGGGCCGTGAATTTCCTCCCGGACTCAGCCCCGTCTGGTGACGGGCGGCTGGCTGCCCGCGTGGCGCCCTCAGGCGGCCCTGGGACGAAGCAGGCTCTAGGGCGGCCGGGCTGCTGGGAACAGTGTTCGCCACCCACGGCCCGGGTCTCCGAGACTTTCTCTGGGAGTCTGGGGGGCGGTCAGATCACAGCCGTAGACTCTGCGGTGCTTTCATTTACCTTTCCCACTTGGCACAGACGGAAGGCAAAGGGAAGCCCACGGGCAGCGGAGCTCCCGCTGGGTGGCACGACCCTCCCCCGGCCCCGGGCGACCTGGGCCCCCTCCCTGCCGCCCACCAGCCCCTGCTTTTCCTTTTGGAAAATCTGAGACACTCAGCTCACCCCAGGGGGGTTCTTTCTCCCGCAATTAAGAGCACAGGAGACGGGGCCTGTCCCTGGAATTGTTTTAACGTCAGGAACAAAAACAAGAGCTTCGAAGCAACGCGCCCGCTGGAGGGAGCAGAGAGGCCCGGAGACCTCTCACGGCGTGTTCCCACCCGCCTCGACCGGGCAAGGACGCCGGTGGCCGACGCCAAGTGGTCAGCGGGGCCGGGGAGGGCGTGACCCGGTGCCGGGGTCTCACACAGATGTCGGGGAGCACGACTTGGGGGCTGCGGACGCCCCGGCGCGCGGAGGAGAGCCCGCGGGGCCTGCGCTGGGCCCCCAGGGCCGCCCAGGCGGCGGGGAAAACCCAGCAACACCAGCACGTTCCCGGGCGTAGCCAGTCAGCCCGGGCACCGGGGCCTGGGCTCCCCAAAGAGGAAGCAGGCGAGCTGGTTAAAGAAAGGCATTTCGTTAGCAGATTAGCTGCCCGATAACCACGCAGCTCCGTGTCGAGAGCCAGTGCTTCGCTTTTAATGAAAACCTGGTGCTGCCGGGCCGGGCCGGGCGCGGGGCCGAGGCAGGTCCTCTTTGCTTTCGCTTCCTCGCCCTCAGCGCAGACCCGGCCGCGGCCGCCGTTCGCCGGGGCTGGAGCCCGCGGGACGGCGTCGGGCAGGGGGCCCTGCTGCCTCTGCTGTCCCCTGCCACGCTCTCAATTAAACGTTGTACATGGATTGGCCCGTTTCATTGGGAGCTCTCAAACAATTAGATACAATTTCCCCCTTTGAAATGAGAAGCGCAGGCGATTCATTGCAGCGTTTCTTGGCCAGTTTACAAAAGACTTAGCATATATATCAAATTCATTTGAGTCCGAAACTGTGGCAGTCTGCGGTACCCTCCTCAGAGCAAGCCGACCCCGTCGAGTCAAGCTCTCACGCCAACGCGGCTGCCGTCCTTCGTCAGAATGTCCGTCCCTGTCCTTCCTGATCAGACGGGATGCTTGCTCAGGAGAAGCCACTGAAGAATGGTGGGGGCCAGCGACAGATACATGCGCTCTGCATCCCAAACGTACGACGAAGGAAGAGATAGATGTGCGGGACTTTTCCCACGTTCGTGCCGCCGGAAGGGAACGCAGGCGACTGGAGAGGCTCGGACACAAACGGATTTAGCCGCGCGCGGGAAGACAGGAGCCTGGCAAACACCAGGCTCGCCAGGCCGTGTCCTCTCTCGGGCAGGGGGAGGAATTGTCTGCCTGTGGAGGGGCTGTCCCCGCGGTCCTGCTCTGCTCTGAAAAGGCACAGACAGGCCCCCCAGGCCCCAGCGGCGCCCAGCGCCCGCGTGGTTTTTTTAAGCTCCAAGTGCTCAAGCCCTCGGGCAGCCTCCGGGCTCCGGCGGCCACCACCTTTCCCAGACAGAGACAGCCACTGTTTGGGGACCGGCGAGGAGTGAGGACACACAGAGGTGTTTCCAGAGTCAGCACCGGACCCCCTGCCACTCTTCGGGGGTCCCTGAGAGAGGAGAGTCCCAAGGAGCAGCGTCCCCTCTCGGGCCAGGCCAGAGGCGGACCGGCCACCCCGCTTCCCCTGGCTGCGTGCTCCTCTTCTGTGAAAAGCCCTCGCAGAGGCCCTCACAGATCCGGCATGAAGCCGACACCCAGGACGGAGAGAGCTTTTCTTTTAAAGATGAGCACCCTGAAAGAGACGTTGCCCAGTTCACCCAAACACTCCTTGAAAGCTTCTCAAACTGCTCCAAGAGGGGAAGGGGGCCCATGCGCTTGACCACTTTCACGTTTTTGAGCAGCCTGTTTGCTCCGGGCTGGGGAGAGCCGGCTGAGCCTGCTGCCTCCTCGCTCCCCCCGCCACCCCACCCCCGTGTAACGCTGGTGTCGTTTCTTGTAATTTAAATTGTAAAACCCCAAGATTAAGTAGGAATGAAAATCGTAGAACTTAAGTCGTCATATTCATAAATAGCATTATCCTCCTGAGTTGATTTGATATTTTAAAAAAGTACTTAAGGAGCTCAAGAAAGTGTCTAAAACGGACTATTTTAAATTTGAAATATTTCTTTGTCTTAAAGAATGTTGGGGGGAAGTCACGTCTGTTTTCACGGAAGCATCTGAATGAGCCTGGCCTGTGTGAAATCGACTTTTCTCAGGCACTTTCTCTGCCTTGTGCTGGGAACGTGGGGTTATTTGTCCCCAAGCTCCATCCACCTGCAAGGATCCCGCTCCTGTGTCCGGCGAGGGATGGCAGAGGAGAGGACCCACACTCAGGGCCACCGCCGGCCCTGTGAACAGGGCGGGGGGGAGGGGGGGCACATTAAAACAGGGACCGAACCTCAGACCTCTGTCTGGCTTCGGTATTTTGAAAGCCGTTTGCGAACAGACGTTTATTGGCTCCCGTGAACTCAGCTGTCGTGGCTTCCCCAGCTCTCAGATCCTGAAACCGGAGAGAAGATTCCAGCTGGGCCTGACCCCAGCCGCACCCCCAGAGCGCTGAGACAGGGCTGCAGGGGCGCAGGGCTGCAGCTGTTGAGAAGGCGTGAGTTTTCCGTGCTGTCACTTACACAAACCTTTTTCCTTTGCCCGCGGCTGACGAGGCATCAGAGGAGAGGGTTCTTTTTCCTGGAGGAGCAGACCCCTCTCCCTCCCGGGAAAACGAGCACGTAGCCTGTCCACACTGCGCACTGCCCCCCCCCGCCCCCCGCCCGGTCTGAAGCTGATCTAGCCTCCGAGGGGCACACGGCGAAAGGGAGCTGGCCGGCCGCTTCAGGAATTTTCAAGGGGCTACAGAATCATGTATTTCAGGCCCCTGCGGAAGGGGAAGGGGCCTGGTCGGCACCATAAATGCGCAATTTGTAACGCCCCCAGAGGCCAGGAGCCGCCCAGGCCTCAGTCCCACTGAAGCCGGCCTTTGTCCTGGGAAGCCAACCCAGCCTGCGGACCAACCGGGAGCCGGGAACCGGGAACGGCTGGCTGATAAGGCCTTTGTGCCAGTGGGAACAGGTCGTAAAAAACACCAGGCTTTTGTGCCCCGGGGTCCCCCTCACGCCTCCGTGCCCTTGGCAACGGCACCAGCTGAGGCTGGAAAAGTTTGTGCTGATTTCTGTTCACCTCCTCTCCCACCTTCCAGGTGGAGGCAGGTTGGGGACACCCCTGTCCCTCCCCACCCCCGCCGCCGCCCTAACCAGGGCCCTGGATTAGCACTAATAGCAATTAATTCCGTCTTCCGCTCAAAGTCCAGGCGGCCACGGCTGCGGGCCGCTGGCTGCTCTCCTGTGCTGCGCTCACACCCCTGCCAGGTGCCGCCCCGGGGTTGGGGAGGGGGCACCCGCTGTGCACAAATCTGCTCCCATGGCCAAGTGCGCTAGACCCTCCCTCAGCTCCTCCGGGGCTGTGCCGGGGGAGGAGGAGTCCCTGGGGAGGCAGGGGCCTGGGAGTGCACGTCGTCGGGGCTGGAGAGGGGTCCCCCGGGGTCCCAGGAGGCCGGGCAGCCCTCAGAGCGGGGAGGGGTGTGGGGGCGGGGACCTAGGTGGCCTTGGAGCGAGAGGGTAGGGAATTCCAGGAGGTCCAGTGGCCTCAGGAGCCACCGGGGTGGGGGGTCCCGGGAGAGCCAGCGGCGCTCAGAGAGGGGCGTGAGGAGGGTGGGGGGTTCCAGGAGGCCGGGTGGCCCTCTGAGGGGGTCAGACGGGGAGGCGGAGAGGGGAGGCGGGCTGCGCCCAGCCCCCGCCAGCCTGGCCTGAGCAGGAGCTCGGCAGTCCCTGCCGGAGGCAGGATGTGGCCCCAGGAGCCGCGCTGAGCAGGGACGCCAGGTCAGAGCGGGCCTCGGGAGGGACGCGGCCACCGGGGAGGGATGCGGCGGGCGGGCCCACATTGCCCTCTAACGGGGCCTGAGGGAAGCGGGCCGCGGACCCCCCTCTGGGCCCGGCCTGTGCGTCTGTAGCTCGCAGCTGGCACTACACGCACTTGCTGGACCGACTCGCTCACAGCCCAGATGCCGGTGTGGGACTCGGCCTGCCGCTCGGGGCCCCCCGGCTTTGTCTTGGGGTGTCATGCACTTTGGGTCCCCTTTTGAAATCCAGTGGCTCGTCTGATTTTTTAAAAACAATGATTATTTGGCCACTGTAATTTTTTAGATAAAACAATACAGAAACGGGATCTTAACAACTGGCTTCGCTACGACACTTACTGGGGCCCAGTTTCTATTCTCCATTTTAAAACCGCGTCATCCCGGCAGTGATGCCTGTGGCAGCCGCTGCCAGGTAAGATGCAGGAGCCCCGGCGGAGGAGCCCTGTGCTGCGCAGGACACACGCACGGTGTGCGGCTCTGCCGTGCGGGGCCCCGGGGATAAATCCGGGCGGGCCCTGGGGACACGGGGGGACTTCGGGTGCCACGGGGTTCCCTGCTGTTGCCAGGACTAGTGGCTCGTGAAGGAGGCCACACGGACGTGGCCTGTGGAGGGGGGAAGGGGTCCCATGAGCAGTGGGGACAGCTCAGGCTTCCAGATGTTTCCCAGGGCCTGGGGGTGATGGGGGGGTTGCGGGGCGCATGCAGGCCGTGTGCCCAGCTCAGTCCTGGGCACCTGAACCCTTTCTGGCCACTGCTGGGAAGCCTGGCCTGGCTCCTAACGCCCAGGCCCTCCGTGGGGCCGCGCGGGAACACCTCCGGGGTGCGAGTTTCCGGGTGCGGATGGGATTGTCTTGGTCTTTCTCTGGTCTCCCAGCCGGTCGGGCAGCCAGGTCTTCGGGTTTCTGGAAGCACTTTGGTTACTGTTACCTGGATAGAGACCCAAATACCCATGGGCTGGAGTGGCGGGCAGAGGCCTGGCTGTCTGACATTTCTGGAATCGAGATGCAAGATCTCTTGGTGTCGGCCCCACTCGTGTGAGAGGCCAGTGCCCCCCCCCCCCACCAGAGGACCTGAGTCACTGCTCTCCAGAGAGGGGAGGGGACTCCCAGGCTCGGAAGACCCCGGTTGCCTCCCACCGTCACCCAAGCCTTTGCAGTTTGCTCCCTGGGTCCCCTCCCAAACAGCCCCTGCCCCGTGGCCCCGCTGGGGTTTTCCAGGTCTGGGCCACACCTCCAGTGCAGCCGGCCCTTGTTCAGGCGACGCGTTGGCCCCTGCGGTGCTGTCCAGAGGCTAGAATTCCCAAATTCTCCTCCCCTCGACCTCGGAGCCCACTGCTCCCAGCTTTGGTATCGCCCCCGAGCCCCATGCACCCCTCCCCGGGCTCAGGGGTGCCCCCAGCTGGGTCCCCGTGGCTGCCAGGCACCAAGCTTGCTGCAGACACACGTGTCTCTCTGCCTTCCCTGCGGACGGTGCCCACGCTCACGCGAGGCTCACAGCCTGCTGCCCCGGCCCACAGAGCCTCTGTCCGAGTTCACAACCACTTTCGGAACACCCAGACTCACTCTCGACCCCCTCTAGACCCCGGCACCCCCACCCCCACCGACAACGGGCGACCCGAGTACTCTCTGGGAAAAGGAGCCTGAGACGCAAGCCAGGCCCTGCGTCTGGGGAGGAGCTCCAGCCTCCCGGGTGCTTCCCGCTGGGACACGCTCTGCCTGGGACCTTCCGGGCCGACCCTCACTGATTTCATCCTGCGACCCCTCTACCGACCTCCAGCCACCCGATGAAACAAAGTAAAAGGGACTCTCGTACTTTCGAGCATATTCTGCAAAGTTCCAGAAGGGAGACTCTTAGCGGCAATTAGCAGGCAGGTCAAGTGGCCAGCGGGCCGGCCCTGCAGCCAGCGGCGTGGCCCCCGTGTGCACAGCGTGGCTCTCTGAGCGACAAGGATGGGGACACTTACCCTTCTCTCTGCCTTTCCATCTAGATTTATTATAAAGTCATCAAGGACATCGAGCCTGGGGAGGAGCTGCTGGTGCACGTGAAGGAAGGCACCTACTCCCTGGGGACGGTGCCCCCCAGTCTGGATGGTAAGCCCCCCCCCCGCCCGAGGCCGCCCCTCACTTCTGCCACATGACTGGGCCCGCCGCTCAGACCCCGGGCCGGCGGGACCAGAGCGTCCTCACAGCCTCTCAGCTAAAGCGTCTGGCTCTTCCCCTCGGGGGCAGTCTGAGCCACACACCAAATCCCAGCCAGGGCTCCAGGCCGCATGAGCGAATGGGCGCCGTGTGGCCGTGTAGCTGTCGTGGAAGTGTCCTGAGGGGTTTTCTAAAACTGTGCTACATATTATCAGCAGCAGCGTGGTTTGCTCTCCCCGGTACTTTAAAAAAAAAAAAAAAAGTTTTGTGGCTCAGAAGCCTTCACCCTGTGGGGTTCAGCCGCGCGAGACGTTTCAGGCTCGTTGCAGCGAGGGCAGCGACGGCGTGTGGGTCTTTGGAAGCGAAGCCTGTCTGCAGCTGACAGCAGAAAGTCCAAGAGAAAAGTTAAGGGAAAAGTGATTCGGCGAGAGGGAAAATTTCGGGCTTGGGGGCTCCCCAGGGGGCGTGTGGTCGGCAGCTGAGCTCGGAAACAGCCCTCCCGTCCTCTGCCGCCCGACGGTGATCGTCCCATGGGCACGCTTCCCTTCCTCCTTCATGCGCACTGTGTACATGCAGAGGGTGATAGAAAATCCCAGCCGCAAACAGGCCGGGGTTTCTGACGTGCAGACTCCTTGGTCCACATTGTCAGCAACGTGCCATTCTCCTTGGGATTCTGGAACAGGGTTTGAGTCCGTTCGAGGAACGCTGTGTTGGCCGCCGAGCGGTGCCTTAACTCCCCGAGTGCCGCTGCTGAGCTCGCGGCATCTTCCCCTTGAACGAGCCCCGCGAGGGAGCGGCAGAGCAGCCTCCCCTTCTCGCCGGGGCTGGTGATTCCGCTCACGCCGGAGCCAGGGGGAGGCTGTTTTTTCCCCTTCCTGTCCCTCCTTCCCTCCCCTCTGAAGGCAGAGAGGCTTAATGATTAACGCTTCTTACCGCAAGTTCCTCTAATAATGTCACGAGAGGGAGTGGCTTGGGCCGGGGCCGAGAGCAAACACAGAGATCTCTGCCTTAATTTACCCTTTGGATCCCCGAGCCTGGCCCGACGGTTAGGGTCCTTCCTCCACTCGGCCCGTGTCCCTGAGCTGCCGCTCCGGAGGCGGTGGCCGCGGAGCCGGATCCTATCTGCACGCACTTCTAAAGTTTGGTTTTAATTAGGCCGTCAAGAAAAGAAAAATAAATAGCTGAGGTCTGGGGTAGTGAGGGGATGGTCTCATTTTCCTTAAAATAATTGTTGAAAAGACCTATGGATCTCAGGTAGCACATGAGAACTCGGAAAGATAAACCCACTTCCCTTAGGAGAGAACCCGGCCAGGGAATTTCATTTGTATAATGAAACTTCTTTCTTCCGAAAGGTTTTAAAAACCTTGATTGCTTTCCCCGCTCCTCCCCGGGCCCCCTGATCTTAAAATAAGCCGAGTCCACATCTCCCTAATAATTCATCAAACATTTGTGGGCTAATTGCTTTCCACACATAATAGTCTAGCATCAAATAATCTGACTTTTCATACTCTCTGCTGTCACGGTCACCCCCTTGCCCCCCAACAGCCACCCCCTCCCCAGCTAAACTCGGAATCGCACAGAAAGAAAATGCAAAAACGTTCCTCACTAAGATAATTATCATAAAAAATCTTTTATCCCGGCCCCGGCTAAACGCAGAGGCCCCTTATCACGGCAGGAATTTGGAGTGCACTCTCCAGAGCTTTTGAGCCTCCGGTCTGGTACATTAGCATGCAGATGTCACATAATTGTGTCCCCCTCGGCTCTCTGAAGCCATTAGGCACCGATTTATTTTTCTGTTACATTCCTGCCACGCAAAGTTGCTGGTGGAACTTCAGATAGACAGGCAGGGCGCTGATGTGGCACGCACGCCCGTGGCTGCTGTGGCCTGGGTCCAGTTTGGTTTGGGCAACACGCGGAGCCCCTGCCAGATTCAGACGAAGGGGGTTCAGCGTTGAGTCACAATTTTTCTGTGCTGCTGTCGCGGGCAGGGGCCTTTGGCGGGGACAACGATTAGGCATCGCGGAGGAAGCGGAGGCCCCGGTTCGCCTCGCCAGCCCGCTGGGGGCAGAGCGCGCCGGTCCGGTGGATCCGAGCCTCGGAAAGCTCTTTGGAAGCCTCGGCTTTGTAAAGAAATGCAATTCCAGTTTCCCTGGGAGGGACTCGGAGCACAGGGAAGCCACTTCCAGATTCATAGTTCCAGCGACTTTTTATTTTGTTTTTACTCTTTCAGTGCGGAAGGAAAAGATTTCTCTTTCAGGAAAGCTTCTTGCTCTTGGGAGAAAATAAAGAAAATCATTTCCATTCCAATATGCTTTTCTTTTGAGAAAGGCTTAAAATTGCTGACATCCCCCTCCTTCAAAAGAAGTCAAGAGGATGCAGTGAATTGTGTGTAAAAAGCGTATGAGGAATATAATATAATATAACATAATATAATATAACATAACAAGTGTAGTATGATATAAGAGAACATGACATAATACAATATAACACAAACACAATGTAACCAGAATGTAACATATTCCTTAGTGTTTTTTTCATGTGGAATTCCCTGTGCTGGGCCCTGGAAGCCACTAGGGCTGTGTGCGTCCTTCATAGCCCGTCCAGTGTGCCCCAGGAGTGTGCGTTCAGTGCCAGCCTTACCTGCGTGGAAACTGCAGGGATGCCTGTCCACACCACGGCACGGGGTGTGTGGGGGGTGAGGCTTAGCCATGTCCGTCCCCGTCTCTGTCCTTCAACCAGCGCAAACTTGGGTCCGTGGAGGGATGAGGGGGCAGGGAAAGATGGTGACATTTGTCTCCAGTCAGTTCCATGGCCTCCAGGAGGTCCCCAAATGCCGTCAGGGTGAGAATCAGGCAGAATTTTCATTTTAAATCCAACTTCCAGATCAACAGAGAGAGAATAGGGTGGTTGGTGCGACGGGCGGGTGGGGTCGGCATTTCTTCTCGTCTTTGTTTTCAAATTTCAAACTTCTGGGGTCGTTCCTGGTTGGGTCCAGAAAGAGTCAAGTACAAACTGGCATTTCTAACTTGTGGTGCCGGTGGCGGGTGGGAGGGCCCCAGGAAGTCAGAACAAACCCACAGGGGCCGTTTATGTGGGGTCCACGCATCCGGCCCTGTTCTGAAATGGTGCTCTTGGTCCTCAGATGTAGAGGAAATCCACGTGTGTAAGACGAGGAGGGCCTGCGGGCTGTGCCCGGGCGCCCGGCTCGCACGGCACGTTTGGTGCCCTTCCGGGCCCTGCGCGCAGCCACCCTGCTTCCCGGGCCCCGCCCGGGGCCGAGGCTCCGGTTACACTGGTCTGCCACCCCCTCCCCGGGTGCCCTGGGCTGGGCCTTCTGTCTGTCCCGGCCTCCGTTTCCCAGTTATAAAGCGGGGATGAAGATAGTCTCCCCCTGGCAGCGCGTGGACGGACACGAGCCTTAGGTCCGCGAACACCATGCAAACCCTAGGGCAGCGCCTGCTGCGCGGGGGCTCCCAGACCTCCCGGGCCCCCGTCGCCGTCCACAGCGCTTCGCCGGCACACGTGTCCCCTGAACGGCACGCACTCGAGACTGTTCTGGGATGTGCACCCTCCCCGACGCCACCCTGGCACCCGGGGACCCTCCCAGTGCTTGGATGGGTTTCCTTCTAACATCTTCTCTGAGTTCGTGCTCCAGATGGCCACGGGCTCCTCGGCCTGCCGCTTGCAGGAACTCTGGGTGTGGTGGCCACTGTGTTTGCAGACACGCTCCAGGGGCACTGGTGCGGCCGCCTCCCTGCCCCTCCAGCCCCGGGTCTGTGGTTGATGCGGACCTTCTGGCCTTGCCTGCCCCGCCCCGCCACGTGGGTGCCGCAAGCCCCGGGCGGCCCTTCGGGGAGCTGTTTGGGGCGGAGCCTTCTAAGCCTCAGAGGCCCGCAGGGAGGCCCGCCAGGCTCCCGCCAGAGCAGGGCCGGGTGCTGTAACTCGACTCCCAGACCCTGCGAGAGCCGCTCTTCCCCCCTTGTGTTCAATTGCTCCGAACACACACTTTCTTGACAGCAGGCTCCGGCCGGTGGGCAGGCGGGCATGCCTGGACGGTGCGTCCAACGGGCACCGGAACCTGCCCGGCCCGTCCGCGGGGCCCCTCCCGGCAGCCTTCCCGGTCACCCAGATGTCCACCTCCACGCAAAGACGTTAACAGAAGTCACACTGGTGCATCTGAGCGGTCGTCCAAGGCCCGGGGGGCCTCAGCCGGGGCACCTCAGAGCCAGCTCCCACGGAGCCTGCCCTTGGACGTCGGGGACGGGGGTCCTCCCGGTGCCACCGGGGGGATGCCAGGTGTGACCACACACCCGGAGTGGTGCCTCCACAGTTAAGCTCAGGGAAGTTTCTGGTTGTGAGCAGGTGGGGCTCCCTCTCCCCAGCCCTCTCCCCTGACGCCCTGCCCAGGCTGCAGAGCCCCCCACCCTGTCCTTAGCTCCTGGAGACGTTTCCGTGGTCTCTCTGATGTGGGAGGGGGAGAAGGCAAGCCCTGTGCGCGTGCCCCATCTCCCTGCCTCCCTGGCTTCCACACCCCTCGGGGGCAACCACTTGGGTCTCTTTTCCACTCAGGTTTCTCAGGCTGAGCTCTGCACACGTGCACATGCTTGCACACACATGCACAGGGATGCACAGGCACACGTGTCCACACAAACACACAGTCACGGGCACACACAGAGACACACACGTTCACTCTCGCACACATATACATGTTTACCCATACACGTTCATACAAACACACACGAAAAAGTGCACAGAAATACAGCCATGTAACACATCCACGCTCACACATGAATACATGCACGTGTGTTCACACACGTACAACTGCACACACATTTACACAGTGCACACACACCTGAATATTCACACACATGTATGCATTCACATATACACACATGCACAAGCAGTCACACTTAGCATGCATAACACATACCAACCGTGTACACAAATGTGTGCAAGAACCAGACATTCACACGTGCAGAGCAAGCACGCACATTAACACACCACACACACGTGCACAGGTGCCCTAATGCCCAGGCACACTCGTGTGTGAGCACACTCAAGCACACACATTTCAATGTGTAGCCACACACAGGAGCCCATGTGCACTCACACACCAACACAAACAAGTGTGGATGCATGATTATCCCTACACGTTCACACGAAGGTGCACAGATGTGGAATGTTCAGATATACACGTTCAGGCACACGAACACCCACAGCTGCACATCTGTGCACACCCCCACAGGCTCACACGTACACAGCTGCACGCCTGCGCACAAGCACACGAGCATTCGCACGTTCCTGCATGCACACACATGCACACTTTCCGATTTGTGCAACAGCTTTCAGTGCAAGCGTCCTGTTGAGGAGGGGACACCATCTGGGGAGAAGCTACTGTCAAGCAGTGGCCCTGGGGGGGGGCGCGCGCCTGGGGACGGGCCCAGAGGACGTCTCCTCCGGGAAATTTACAGCTTTGAGCGCACTGTTTAGCTTGGCACGGTGGTCAGGATGCCGCCTCGTAAACTTAATAATAGCTGCCCCCCTTTTAATTTGTTTGACCTTGACGACAGTAATTTATGATATGCATTAGAGCTCTGTCTTCTTTTTCCCCCTAATTCATAAACAAAGCACTTGGCCGGCTTCCCCCCTGCTCCCAAGTGCAGGGCCTTGTCGAGCCCGCCGTGGCCTCCTGCCACGCCGGGTGGGGCCCGGTGTTTCTCAGCATTTCTGATGATGCGGACGCGGGGTCCCCGAGGTCCCCAGGTCCCCGGGGCGGCCACACCCGGTCCGGGATGAGGGCAGAAAGGAAGCAGGAGCGGGAGCGGCCGGTGTGGGAGGCAGAGCCCGCGGGCCCCCCACACCCCCCTTGGGCCTGGGGCCTGGGCCCCGGCTGGCACTCCCCCTCCTCTGTCCCCAGCGGGGGAGCCCACGTTCCGCTGTGACGCCTGTGACGAGCTCTTCCAGTCCAAGCTGGACCTGCGGCGCCACAAGAAGTACGCGTGCGGCTCCGTGGGGGCCACGCTCTACGAGGGCCTGGGCGAGGAGCTCAAGCCAGAGGGGCTCGGCGGCGGGGGCGGCGAGCAGGCCCACGAGTGCAAGGACTGTGAGCAGATGTTCCCCAACAAGTACAGGTGCGGCTGCCCCTCCCCCCGCCCCGCCCTCCCCCCCGCACCCCTTCACGGCCCCCCACTCCTCCCCAGCCGGCCGAAGCAGCTGGAAGAGGGAGACCTCAGCCTCAGCCCCGTCCACACTGACAAGCCCAGGGCTCCAGGGACGCAGGGAGACCAGGGTCCCCTCCCTGTGGCTCACCTCGGGGACAGGTGCCCCGCCCCCTCATCCGGCCTTACGCAGAGTGGGCCCATGAGCTGGTGGGCGCAGGCCACCGGTGCCCCTGGCTCTGACCCCTGGTCAGAGCCCTCCGCCCCTAGAAGGTCCACATGGCCGGGAGGGCGCCGCTGGCCCTGCCATTGTGCAGGCAGGGCTGAGCCGTGGGGACAGGCCGCCAGGAGAGCCAGAGACGCAGGCAGACCCGCCAAGCCCTGAAGCCACTTCTGTAGGAAGGCCCAAGACCAGGATAGCGGGATGGCACCCCCTCGCCCAGGGATCCGCGGAGTGACCCCGACCCTCTGCACACACGCTGCTCCTTCTCACACGGTGGGCGGGACCTGCAAGGGGCCTCACAGGGGTCCCCTATCCCCCCACCCGGGCTGGGGCTCTGCTCCAGGGACGGAACCCACCTGTCCTGGGAGGCTTCACAGACGTGGGCACGGTGTGCCAGGCCAGCTCTGTGACAGCCGGATGTGGTCAGACTAGAGCAGGCACGAGCTGGCCCTGCCCCTGGGAAGCGGGGGCCCTGAGGACCCCTGGGAACCTCCTGGGAAAGACGAGCTTCTGGGCTTCATGAGGACGGAGGTGGGGGTGCCGTCCCAGCGCTCCGGGAAGCGTGAAGACCTGTCCTAGGTGGGCCCCTCCTCCGCCCTTTGAGACTCCAGCCAGGACAGCCTCGCTAAGGCAGAGGAAAGCCCCATCTGCCACTCACTGGCTGTGGTACCGCCGGGAACCAAACGCCAGTCCCATCGTGGCCTCCCCGGGAGCGGGAAACCCTCCACCCTGAACAGATGACTAAGAAAATGAGCGTTTGGGCAAATCCCAACTGAGACCCTGGGCGGTAAGCGCAGCTCAAGAGGGTCCGTGTTTTCTTTACATAAACACATAAATCACAATTAACAACAGGGAAAAAGATACAATCTGCCAGTGCTCGGGAACCAAGCGTTTCTGATGTAAATGGATGGCTGGGCCCCGTAATTAACGGGCGTGATGTATTGCTGCCCGGCTCGTGGAGATTAACAGGCACACCTGGGACAGGACAGCCCGGACGTCCCCCCGAGAGGGGGGCCCGGAGCCGCTCCTGCATCCGAGCGCAGCCGCCCCGGCCCGGCAGCTGCGCCCTCCCCACCTTAGCACGTCTGGTTTGGAGATACCTCCCCGCCCCCCACTTAACCCCCCCCTCGCACCCTGCGCACCCCCCGCCCCCCTCCTTGGGGCATGTGAGGTGGGTAGGCTGGGCATGGCCTTGGGCTTCCCCGGGCCCACGGCACTGTTGGAAGTTTCTGCACCCCTTTTCGGAGGCCCAAGGTCAGCCTCAAGGTTAAGATCATGTTGAAGAGCAGCCAGGAGTTGTGAGCTGGGGTCCCGCCCCGCCGCCGGCTGCCTGGAGGAGGGGTCTTGGACGAGGTCTGAGCTCCATCCGGGCCCCGCTTCCTCCCCGTGTGATGTGGGAGGGACGTCTGTGCCCCTCCGTCCTGCTGCCCCGTCCTGCCTTCCCGGGGCTCACTCTCCTCTCTGAGCGGGGCAGCGGCAGGGGCGAGCAGGGCGTGGGTGCCCCCCCTCCCCCGGTGACCCCGCCCCCCGTCCGCGTGCAGCCTGGAGCAGCACATGGTTGTGCACACCGAGGAGCGGGAGTACAAGTGTGACCAGTGTCCGAAGGCCTTCAACTGGAAGTCCAACCTCATCCGCCACCAGATGTCCCACGACAGCGGCAAGCGCTTCGAATGTGAAAACTGTGTGAAGGTAACGTGCGCCCCGCACGTGCCCCCCACGCTAGTGCAGGCGAGTGTGCAGCGCCGAGGAGTCGCCCGAAGCCCTCTGGGTCTCTCGTTTACCGGGGCGGAGGAAGGGCGGCAGCTCGCGGGCTGGGGAGGGGGCCCCCCACCTGCCAGCGTGTCCTCCTGGCCGCAGCCCCCCAGCAATTACTGCGGAAGGAACAGCCTGGCGGACGCTGGGCGGCTCACCCCAGGCCATCCGGTGTCACGGCTACAGCAGAGACCCCTCCCGGCCGGGTCGGGGCGTGGGGGGCAGGGGGCGAGGGGGGCGGGGCAGGGCAGCAGTGAGGGGGGCGGGGCAGGGCAGCAGTGAGGCCCCCACCGGCGGCCGCAACCAGGCCGACGGGGCAGCAAGCCATGGTGTCCGCCCTCAGGTGTTCACGGACCCCAGCAACCTGCAGCGGCACATCCGCTCCCAGCACGTGGGCGCCCGGGCGCACGCCTGCCCCGACTGCGGCAAGACCTTCGCCACGTCCTCGGGCCTCAAGCAGCACAAGCACATCCACAGCACCGTCAAACCTTTCATATGTAAGTGGCCCCCCAGCCTGGCCTCCTGCCGCGGCCTCGAGGTCAGCCAGGCGCGAGACCCCCGGGCGCTCCCACGGGACGGGTGGGCCTGCCTGCTCAGAGCCCCTGCCCATGAAGCCCAGGCCCCGGCCTGGCCCCGCCATTGCACTGCTCTGCTCGTCGCCCCTGCTCACACTCTGCTCCGAGGTCTCTCTTGCTGTGGCCCCTTCCCTACAGTGAGAGGTGGGTGGGAGGAGGGGGAGGGAGCGTTCCAGCACTCCTGGGCCCTCAGGGGAGGCCGGAAGTTCAGTGCCCCCCCCACACACACACCCCCGACTCTCCCTACTCTCCCCTGCGCTCACACCTTGAGCTCTGAGAGGTCTGAAAATGCCAGGGACGCTCACTGAGTTTTCTCCTCCCCACGGCGGCCTTGAGGGAGCCCAGCCTGCGTGCCCAGCACTGTCAGGGTGGCGGGTGGCAGCTGTCAATGCACAAACTGTGCAGCCATCACCTGCAGGAACTGTGCACTCATCACCCATACGTACCGTGCACTCATCACCCACAGGAACCATGCACTCATCACCCACATGAGCCGTGCACTCATCACCCATATGTACCGTGCACTTGTCACACACATGAACTGTGCACTCATCACCCGCACAAACCGTGCACTCATCACCCGCACAAACTGTGCACTCATCACTCACACAAACTGTGCACTCATCACCCACACGAACTATGGACTCATCACCCACACAAACTGTGCACTCATCATCCACAGGAACTGCACAGAGTCATTACCCACAGGAACTGTGCACTCATCACCCACACGAACTATGGACTCATCACCCACACAAACTGTGCACTCATCATCCACAGGAACTGCACAGAGTCATTACCCACAGGAACTGTGCACTCATCACCCACACGAACTATGGACTCATCACCCACACAAACTGTGCACTCATCATCCACAGGAACTGCACAGAGTCATTACCCACAGGAACTGTGCACTCATCACCCACACGAACTATGGACTCATCACCCACACAAACTGTGCACTCATCATCCACAGGAACTGCACAGAGTCATTACCCACAGGAACTGTGCACTCATCACCCGCACAAACTGTGCAGTCATCACCCACACGAGCTGTGCAGAGTCATCATCACCAGAATTGCATGGACCCCCACCCATGTGGGATTGCCCGGGGTATCATCTCACACACACTATCTCATAGCACCCTTCAGGGCCACACTATCTCCAACTGGCAGAGAAGGAAACTGAGAGTTACAGACAGTAGGGGAGCAGGTGCTCAAGGCCACACCGCAGGGCCTGGATTCTAGCCCAGGCTTGGCCCTTGACTCTGGGCCAGGGGGCCGGAGCCTCTCAGACCCCACACCATACCACCAGGGTGAGGAAGAGTAACTCCGGGAGCTTGAAGACTTGGGGTTGGGCACCGACGCTGTTCTGGTGCAGGACACCCAGGGCCGCCTGGCTGGTCAGGCCTGTGCTGGGGCTGTGCCCTCCCCCTGCTGCGTCCCCAGCCCCAGTTTCCAGCTGCCCTGCTGGCAATGACCCAGACCCCCACCTTCCTGGGCCCCCTGCTCCCCCAGTCAACTGCAGGTGGTGGACGGAGACCTCTGAGCCCCAGGGCACCGGAGGTTCCCTCTGCGAGGGGTCAGGAAGAGTGGGGGCTGGGGGCTGTGACTTGGTGTCTGGAGGTGTGTGTCCTGCTTTCTGTGGACGAGGGTCCCAGGAAGTCCCACTGTGGGGCATCACGTGGCAGCTTGGAGTTTTGACGTGGGCTTAGAGACAGGAAGTTGTGCGTAGGTTCAAAGGCTACTGCCTTTCTGGGCATGGGGATGACTCCACGGAGTCTCCTTGGAGTGCATTTCATAACAGAAGTCGCGGGCACCTCGGGCCTCCGCCACCTGCACAGACCCCCGTGTGGGCGGGCAGCAGGAGGGCAGGCAGCGTGTGGGAGGGCAGCGCGTGGGCAGCCTGGCTGGCCGAGGGCCTGGAGCCCCCTCGGCCCCTTGTCTGTGCCGCACGCTCACCTCGGTGTCCTGGCCATTGGCTGAAGGGGGCAGCGAAAGAGAAAACTGAATATGGCCAGTTGCCTGCATGCCCGTGTCGTTCAGATAGGGTGGCACGAATTTCAGAAATTGCACGTAAGTGCGGCTTGGCACGTCCTCCGAACCATGGCGGGGCAGCCCTCGGCCCGTGGTCACCACCATGCTGGGCGTGGAAGGGCGAACCCACGAACAAGTGAGGAGGGTGCGGACGACGTGACTCTGGTCAGGAACGATGGGCTGCCGGAGGGGTGTGGGCTCACGGCAGCGCGGTCACTGATGTGCACAGACGGCGTGCGCCTGCTGGGCACCACCTGGGTGCACACACGGCCCTCGCCGATCTGTACTCAGAAGCCCTTTCCTCACTGACCACGCAGGCTGGGGGGGTGGCTTCCCAGGGGCGCCTCTTGCCCCAGGGGGCTGAGGTGCGTGCTGGGCTGTTTGGGGGGCAGGTGTCGGGCACACAGGTCATCAGTCTCCCTGTGGGCACTTTCTGGAAAAGGCCCTTCCCTAGAGTGTCGTGTGTGAGCCCATCTACGCACACATCCCACAAGCAAAGGACACGGTGGTGGCCAGGGCCCCTCTGCACCCCGGCAGGGCTGGGGGGTCCCCGCTCACGTCCGCTGCAGGCCACCCCGGCTCCGAGCCAGCTGCCGGAGTGCAGGCCCAGGGCCCCCAGGAGCGTCTCTCGGGAGCCCCAGTGTCCCTGCCAGACGCTCCACCTTGTGAGCGGAGTGCTGGGAGCCGAGGGGCCCGGACCCCCCACGACCGGGCGTGGTGCTGGCCCAGGAGTCCCTGCTGGGTGCTGCCCCAGTGGGGGGCCTGTGCGAGGCCGGTTCCCAAGCCCAGATTCGCTGCAGCCAGTGACAAGGCCCCGGCGAGCCTGGCCAGGGCTCAGCGACCGGTCACTGGTTCAGCCAGTGAGGCCCCAGCTGAGGAACGGCCTTGCTCCCCCGAGGCCGGGTGGGTGACCTGAGTATATTTATAGGCCGTCTCCGCCGCCCAGCTCCTCTGTATCAACCACCTCCCAAAAAGGGCAGATTTGATCCAACGAGGCCGAGCTCTTCCCCTTCAGCCTTGAAAACGCCCTCCACCCCCCCCCACACCCCCCGCCCCCCGCCAACGCCAGCGGCCAGGAAGGCAGGGCCTTTAATATAAATAGGTACTGTGATGAAAGCACGCGACCATCCCGGGCCGGAGCCCCGCGTGCGGGAGCGGGACACCAGGCAGCCAGGGTTCGTGTGAACAAGACACAGGCTGAACTCATTGCTTCCGCTGACACTGCCTTTAGGAAGCCAATCGTCCTGCAGAGAGACACGTGTGTGTGAGTGTGTGTGTGAGGGTGTGAGGGTGTGAGTGTGTGTGTGTGCTCCTCCCTTTCTGGTTAGAAAAACAAGAAAAGAAAGAAAAGCTAGTGATTCAGTGACAACACTCAACTCACCAGCTCTCGGAGAAACGGGGAGCCGGGGTCCCCAGGACCTGTGGGTCCGGGTGTTTGACTCTGGCCAGCAGCGCCCCCTCCTGCTGCGAGCGGAGGCCGGTGTCCACCAGCCTGAGCCTGGGGCTTCTGGGGAGGCTTCAGTCTCAAGCACGGAGCCAGCGCCTCTCCACACGCCCCTGCTCGCGCTGCTTTCCCCTGCCCACCTTCACGCCATCCCCAGTCGGTGACCACACGCCACCAGGGGCCGTGCTCCCAGCCCAGACTCCCTGCCTAAGGACCCCGGAGTGGACCCATCACCCCGAGGCCTCTCCCCCCAGACAGAGAGCAGGAGAGTTAGTCTGGTGGTTCCTCTTAGCGGTGGGGCTGGCGTCACTGAGGTGGACGGGGTGCGGGTGGGACCCCCAGGGTCTGGGGGGGCTGAGACAGGTGTGTGTGTCGGCACGCCGGGGTTCACCCCCCAGCAGCGATTTCATAAGACTTGGCCCCCACATCACACACACTCACGGGGAGGAGGGCACGAACAGCACATTTACTCCATTTTCTAGCAGGGAAGGTTGAGGCACCTGAGACTTGACCAAGTGGGAAGGCATAGGTGGTTCTTTCTCACCAGTGTGTGCTGGTCACTGCAGGTCACCCCAGGGTAGGGTGCCCGCACACGCCTACACACGTGTGCACACTTGTGTGGGTACACACACAGACATGCATTGTACACCCTTGTGCACACTCATGTACACGAACGCACAGATACATGCACACGTGCAAACATGCGTGCAGGCACACGCATGTGCACATGCAAGCACACTCATGCACAGGTCCCGTGGATGCACACACATGTGCAAATGTGTGCAGAATGTGCGTGCGTGCACACTTGTGCACATGTGCAAACATACGTATGTGCACACTCATGCACATGCACTCATGCACATATGTCCACAGATACATGCACACATGCAAGCATGCAGAGACACATGTGTGCACACCCAACCATGCATGCACACTCATGCACACGTGCCCACAGACGCACGCACACGTGCAGACATGCATGCAGACACACATGCACACACCCACACATGCGCTCACACTTGCTTGCGCACTAGTATCCACAGATACATGCACACATACACACATGCAGACACGTGTGTGAACGCACACAAGCACAGGCTGCTCGCGATCGCCGGGGCCCTGCCCCCTCCACCACAGGGTTTCCCCGTAATTTCATATTGTTTGTCTTTGCTTTGTGCTGATGTTTTAGGTGAGGTCTGCCACAAATCCTACACACAGTTCTCCAACCTGTGCCGCCACAAGCGCATGCACGCCGACTGCCGCACGCAGATCAAGTGTAAGGACTGCGGGCAAATGTTCAGCACTACCTCCTCCCTCAACAAGCACCGGCGGTTCTGCGAGGGCAAGAACCATTACCCGCCGGGCGGCATCTTCGCCCCGGGCCTGCCCCTCACCCCCAGCCCCATGATGGACAAGGCGAAGCCCCCGCCCAGCCTCAACCACACCGGCCTGGGCTTCAACGAGTACTTCCCGTCCCGGCCGCACCCGGGCAGCCTGCCCTTCTCCGCAGCGCCCCCCGCCTTCCCTGCGCTGGCCCCCGGCTTCCCGGGCATCTTCCCTCCGTCTCTGTACCCCCGGCCACCTCTGCTACCTCCCACGCCACTGCTCAAGAGCCCGCTGAGCCACACCCAGGACGCCAAGCTGCCCAGCCCCCTGGGGAACCCGGCCCTGCCCCTCGTCTCCGCCGTGGGAAACAGCGGCCAGGGCGCCACGGCCGCCGCGGGGCCTGAGGACAAGTTCGAGCGCCGCCTGGAGGACTCGTACGCTGAGAAGCTCAAGACGCGGGGCAGTGACATGTCCGACGGCAGCGACTTCGAGGACGTCAACACCACGACCGGGACGGACCTGGACACGACCACGGGCACGGGCTCAGACCTGGACAGTGATGTGGACAGCGACCGGGACAGGGCCAAGGCCGAGAGCAAGGCGGCAGAGGGCAAGCCCGAGTGCGGGGGCGGCGCGGCCCCCCCGGGCGCCCCGGACCGCGTGGGCGAGGTGCCCGTCTTCTACTCCCAGCACGCCTTCTTCCCGCCGCCCGACGAGCAGCTGCTGGCGGCCTCGGGCGCCGCGGGCGACTCCATCAAGGCCATCGCCTCCATCGCGGAGAAGTACTTCGGGCCCGGCTTCGTGGGCATGCAGGAGAAGAAGCTGGGCTCGCTGCCCTACCCCTCCGTCTTCCCCTTCCAGTTCCTGCCCAACTTCCCCCCGGCCCTCTGCCCCTTCGCCGACCGCTCCCTCGCCCACAACTTGCTGGTCAAAGCCGAGCCACGGTCGCCCCGGGACGCCCTCAAGGTGGGCGGCCCCAGCGCCGAGTCCCCCTTCGACCTCACCACCAAACCAAAAGAGGCAAAGCCCGTGCTGCCCGCGCCCAAGGCGCCCCCCGCGCCGGCGTCCGGGGAGGAGCCGCTGGACCTGAGCATCGGCAGCCGCGTCCGCGCCAGCCAGAACGGGGGGGGCCGGGAGCCCCGCAAGAACCACATCTACGGGGAGCGAAAGCCGGGGGCCGCGGAGGGGCTGCCCAAGGCGTGCCCGGCACAGCTGCCCCAGCAGCCCTCCCTGCACTACGCCAAGCCCTCGCCCTTCTTCATGGACCCCATCTACAGGTATTAACATCCCCGCCTTCACCTGCTCTCCCAGAGGGGCCGCCGCCACCCGGCTGGGCGTCTGGGCGGGGTCTCCCGGACGCACGGGGCTCCCTTTCGCTGACAGCCCCAGGGATCCCCAGCCTCCCCTCAGACCCCACCCGGGGCCCCCTCTGTCTCCGGCCGTCTTCTCCGGACCAACTGCGCCTCCTGCAAAACTCAGACCCGAGCTCCTTCCTCTGCCCCTCCCTCTGCTCCCAGTCCCGAGGCCGCCCTCATGGCCCCTACCACAGCCCGGAGCCACAGCTGGGGTTCCTGTGGCCCAGGGGAAAGCAGAGAAGGAGCCGCTGGTCTCTGGGGGCAGAAGGAGGGGGCATGGAGGAGGGGGAGGAGGGGAGGGGAGGAGGGGAGGAGGAGAGGAGGAGGGGAGGTGGGGAGGAGGGGGAGGGGGGAGAGGAGGAGGGGAG